TTTTCTCTTATAATACCATAAGCTTCTTTTACTAATGCAGTAAGTTCAGCTGGAGTTCTACTTGCAAACGAAGCAGATAATGTAGGCGAAGGCAAAGGACTGAATGCAGGAGTGTTAACGCCTGAATAATTTATTGGCATATCTATGGACAATTTTGATTTTAAACGTGGTGTTTGTGGTGCAGACAATATCATTGGAAATTTTAATTCAAAAAAAAAAAAAAAAAAACTAAAAACTAAAAACTAAAATTAAGTGTTTTTTATGGTTTTTTTTTTTTGCAAAGGAGAATTTTTATACATAAAAAAAAAAAAAATCAATTGACAAAGAAAAAATGATATAATATATAATTAATAATAAATAAAATTTTCAATTATCATATGGGTCATACTACAGACAAAGTTAGTATGACGCCACAAGGAAATTGCAGGGGTATAACCTTTAATAATAACCAGTTTATCAATTACATGAACAATTGATTTCGACAATCAAATAAGAGTCGGACAAGAATATAATAACCATATTGAAGAAAAGAACTGAAAGAGCTTAAAGAGGTACAGGAAGTTAGGAAGATTGGACTGGGGAAGCGAGACAGTGGTGATTCTATTACGTGAAGCTCTCTGATATTCTTCTTGAAACACATTACCCCTAAAATTCTTTGACATCATTGCAGGAGTCCCATATATAAATAATAAATAAATATTAAATAAAACAATGTGAATCAACGACATAAGTTTTAGTGTTGAAATGAAATGAAAAGTGTAAAAATACTTTTCACACTGATTTTGCATATGAAAAAGGATTTTTGACACCCAAAAAAAGAAAAAAACTTCTTCAACAATAATAATCATAAATCAATATACAGTTAATTTATATAAATATGAAAAATAGATTCAAGTAATCAGCTGTTAGTAACACAAAAAATATTATTTTGATAATAATACTTCGAGTCACAATAATAACTATAATAACTATTTATACAATTATTGCTCCTATATATAAGGAATTTATCAAAAAAAAACTTTTTTGTTGATGTAATTATTATAATAATAATGTATGAGGAAGAAAGAAAGATTGGTATATGGAGATGATTAGGAAGATCTTTACTATTCTTTCATCTTTGCTGATAGATTGTTATTATTACCATCAAATGAGTGTCTTATTATGTTTATATGACATCGAAATTTATTTTTCCAAGATAATCTCCCTAATTAAAATTAAACAAATATTTTTGTTTTTCAAGTCTATTTCTTTAGCTAGATACGATCTTGTTTTAATATTGAAACTACAAATAAACTTTAAAGAAGAATTACACAAAATTCATATAAACAAACTTCCCCCGCAATTTAATTTTTTCATGCTTTTTGGTTTGTTTACTTCTTGTGTGATTATTTGCTTATCAATTTTTAAATTAATTAAAAACTTCCCACCCCTAATTTAATTGGTAATAAGACGTGTTTATTATTATAAACATGGAGGATCAATAAGTATTAATCACGTGAAGTAAATTTTAATCAATCAAAATTATTACTTCAATTA